CCCATTTCAGTTGATTTGAAAAATTAAACTGTATTTCTTTACACAGCTACACATTTGGAAATACGGGCATAGATGAATCTCCAATGTTTTCTCTTTCCCTCCCCCCAACTCCATACAGTCCTCTGTTGTTGTCTTGTACCTGCGCTCTGCACTCTGCTCTGTACTAAACACAGTACTAAAGCATGCTAGACAAAGTGCGGCCATAATATGGCCATGAGCCACTGGGATGCAGTGGTTAGAATGCAGTTCTGCAGGCTACTTCTGCTGCCTGCCTGCAATTTGGCAATTCAAAGTTCACCAGGTTCAAGTTTGACTCAGGTAGACTCAGCCGTCCAACCTTCCAAGGTGGGTAAAATTGTTGGGGGAAATATGCTGATTCTGTAAACTGCTTAGAGAAGGCTGTAAAGCACTGTAAATCGGTATATAAGTCTAAATGCTATTGCTATTCAGTTCCTCTAATGAAAGCACCTCTACTCGGCAATAGGTAATGCATGGTTGGTGAAAAATGCTGTTGCTCCTGGCAGTTACTTTCCCACCCTTTACTTATAAAAGGGACAACTGTGTGTAGTTTTTATATTGACCCATTGAAGCAGAATCGAGGATCAAGGTTGTCCCATATTATCTTGCTTCTTGAAGGAAAGGTCAAGATGGTGCCTTTTAGGCACCAAAAACCAAGAAAGACATGCTGAGTTATTTCAGAGCAGCTTCCATTATTGTTCCCTACCTATAGATAGAAATGTTACCAAGCTACCCTGTTTCCCTGAAAAAAAGACCTCTCTGGATAATAAGCCCAATAGGGCATTTGAGTGCATGCGCTAAATTAAGCCCTCCCCAAAAATACTGCAACAAAGTAGCAACCATGGCATGACCATGCTCTCCACCAACTGCACCTCAAAAATAATAAGATCTTCCTGAAAATAAGGCCAAACATTTATTTTGGAGGTCAAAAGAAAATAAGATCTTGTCTTATTTTCAGGAAAACACAGTACTAGCATCATTAAAAATATATTCTGAGAACTCCCAGGAAGGAACAGTCTTGATCGTCTTCCTCCCAGCCAAACTTCACGGTTTCTTGCTCCTCTGGAAAGCTGCGCCTACTGTCTTGGAGTTTAGACTACATTCCACCACATTACCTCTCCCATTATTGACAGCGGCTGAATCTTCCTTAAAGAATGGAGACAGGACTGCATCCTCCACTTCATAGTCCACTTACTTAAAAAGCACATGTCAGGCCTTTGGTATAGAGTATAGACAGTTCTGGCTTCCAGCATCCTACCTGAAAGAGCTACATCATCCTGACTAATAACAGTGCTGACCTTCTATAGAACTAGATTCACTGGAATCAGATCTGCCCTTAAAAATATTCTTTTGTGGATAAAAATGCATAGGCAAGAAATCTTTCCACTGGTTTTGGAAATCTTGGTAATGGCACCCGGTATCTGTGTTTGAAATCAGCATTTTCTTAAAAAAGTAATTGTGAAGCACAAAGATAGCTGCAACGTTCAGATTCAGTTTGTATGCTTCAACATTTACTAGGTTAGCTATTGTGAGGAGCAAGATTTTGGACCAAATGACTTTTGGACCTGATTCAGTTTTGGGGAATTCTGGGAATTGTCTGTACAGTTAGTTGGAAAATAGAATTTAGAGAATTGTTCGCATATATGAAAAGTTGACTCCATAAAACAGCTGCATCTTATGTTCAGAGTTATGCTGCAGCCTGAATAGTGATGGGCTGTTTATAACGAACAGCGAAACAGTGCTATGCTTGCACTTGGGTGAAGTCCAAAGCACTTTTTCAGAATTATTTTAAAGTATGCACAACTAAAAATAGCATTCAAACTCAGCTCCTACTTGTTGTTGATAATGCATAAAAGTCCTCCTATGCTTTAATTCTACAAGATGGGGTTTTATAGATGTATTGACATGGCAACATTTGGAATTTCCAGCCACAATAACTCTTAATTGGCCAAGAATTCTGGAACCTAATAATCCTAGTCTCTAGAGCCGTGATGGCGAACCTATGGCATGCATGTCTGAAGTGGCACATAGAGCTATGTTGCTTGGCACACACGGCATCACCCATTCCTCTTCCGGATTTCTGGCATGCATGTGCGTGCGATGATCAGCTGGCCTTCGTGCGTATGGCAGTGCCAGAAACTGGAAGAGCTGGTCTTCCATTTCCCATCGTGAGCATGCATGCCGGCCAGCTGATCGTTGCTCAAGTATATGTGCCAGTAACCGGAAGACTAGTACCGGAAACCAGAAATTCATTTTCACGTCTGTGTGTGTGTGTGTGTGCAAAGTGCACGTGCATGCACGCACTCCGTTTTCAGCACTCACTGCTCTAGAGCTTTATGGTAATGTTGTATACCCACAAAAGAGACCTAAAACAAGATGGATCGATGACATCAGCAAGTATTGTGGGCTCAATTGCCAAAAGAAAGATCAGGACCGTATTGGTTGGAAACATGCAGAAGAGGTCTTCACTTGGCAGTGGATAGACCAGTGGTTTCCAAAGTGGGCTTTACCGCCCCCTGGGGGTGGTGGGATGACTTAGGGGGCGCTAAGAGGCACGGGGGGGGGGCGGCGGCAGAGAAGGAGCCACACTGAGCCTACAGCTTCAGCTGGCCAGCCTGCCATNTATAATTTTCTACTTTAACTCTTTTTTCCCTAATTGATATGTGATGCTGGACTTTATTTGTTAAAAGATTTTTACATTGCTTTATCTCAGGGGTATCAAACTCAGGGCCCAGAACTGGTGTGTGGGCAGGTCCTGGAAACAGCAAAGGACTGGCCTGCGGTGGCTTTGACAGTGAAAACAGAGCTGGTGGCCTCATTTCTGCTGGCAGAGGGTTGCAGGGGGCCATTACAGCCAAAAAGGGAGCATGTGAGGGTTGTGGGCAGCCCACCCGAACTCCATTTTTGCTGGCAGAAGGTTGCAGGAGGTCGTCGCAGTCAAAAACGGAACTCGGGAGCCCACTTTCACTGGCAGAGTGCTCGGGCCACCACAGGCTCTCCCAACACAAGTGACATTGAGCTGGCCATGCCCTCTCCCCCCCCCAAGGTCAAACACAACCCTGATGTGGCTCTCAATGAAATTGGGTATGACACCCCTGCTTTATCTGGACTGCAGGATTATCTAGTGTGTTTAGATAGTAATGAGATTGGTTTTGGTTACATTTATCTTTGTAAATAGTGCGAGCAGATGAAGCATTGTTTATCCTTTAAGCAAGTCTAATTTCTAATAACAATTGCTAATCCCCTTCTTCCTTCAAGAAGTTCAGGGAAGTGTTCTTTCTTTCTTCCTAAACTCTCTGCATTCTCCCAACAAATCTTGGAAGTAGATTAGGCTAAGACAACTTGACTGAAATCCCATCTTATGAGAAGCTATGGTTTGATTAACCATGCTTTACTGATTAAGAACTAATTGGTTTGATTTGTACCATATATTTAGCCATAAAACACTAACCTACAATAATGACTGAATTCTGACAATGCACTCCATCTAAGTTTCATCTAAGTTCCATTCCAGTAAACTATAGTCCAATAATTTCAGGAAAATATCTCATTTTCTACCCCAGTTTTATTCCTTTATCTTATTGAACAACTGCCCACCTATTAAAAATGTAACCCAGAGAAAAATCAAGGTTAATGAGTTTACATTTCAAATCAGATTTACTTCAAATCATGTGGGGACTTTAGATCCCAGCAACCTCCGAAAACTGTAGTTCCCACTCACCCACCTGTTATTTTTATTTTATTTCTTTCCCCCTTGTGGAAAATAATTCATACCGTGAAAATCAGATCTTTTCTCCAAACTAAGTTTTCAGGGAAAATCCGAACTACCTTGTCCAGTCCTTGTATTATGGAGATTCCTGATGTTTTATAACGGATTGGAATCAAGAGCATTCCAGTTAGGTTGTAAATGTTATTAGCATGCAATATGAGCTTCAGAATAGAATTCAGCTCCCTGCCTTACAGAGAAAAATACTCTGAAAACTTCCTCTGTTTCAAGGGTTGTTTAAAAAGGGGGAAATACTAAACCGAGCAGCAGATAATCACAGTTGTAGGTTTCCCTACTGTAGAAGAAATAGTAGGGGATTTCCTATTTCCGTCGAACAACAAGCTCTAGTTTTGCATGCATGCATAGGAATAAACAAATATTATGCAAAATAACAAACCCACATTTAATGTTCAATTTAGACGAAACAAATAGCTGTGCTTCCTTTAGCTCTACTTCTCAAGAGATGGCAATATTATGGCTGAAGTACATTTGGTTTTGTGGCCTGTGTGTGTTTGAGTGAGCATGGGTGCTTTGCAATATACCAAGTTCCCTGATACTAAGTGAATTAGAAATATAAAGAAGCAAACCAATAACATGATTTCATGATGCCTGAAGCCAGCTGGTCTTATGGAGAAGGCCTTGGGGTAGGACTGGCGTACTGGCTCTGAACCAGGCAAGACACCATATGAACTTTTAGACAGAACACTAATTAGTGTGGTGGGGAGAGAGATTAAGTGAGTGAATGAGAGACACACAGAGAGAAACTTTCCATCACCATGACAACCATCCTCTCGAGCTAGGCTGGACTTCTTCATGCCTTGGACAACCTTAGGCTGGGGTCACCTCTTCAAAGAGGAAAAAAATAATATTAATGTAAAAATTTAGAGCCAGCCAATACCATTAGATTAGAGTGGTATGATTAAAAAGGGTCTCATTTTCCAAATTTTATCTCTACCTGCCACAAAATAAGTAGTTCACGAGGAAAGGGATGGTAAAGTCCTGGCCTGTTCATTCATTACATGTAGGGCTTCTTTGTAGAGGGGAGATTTCACAATTGCACTCCTTAGGAATCCTACTTCTCTGTCTACTATCACTGTGTAAGGCATACGTAGCTTTGATAGGGTCTGTGAATGTAAATGTACATTCATGGGGAGGAAACAGGCTAGCATTCGAAGACTTCTGGCACATATAAGAAAGAGGAAGGGGTTCTTCTTACCTGCATAGTGGTCAAACACTGTTGGTACATATTCTTCTGGAAACGCATCATTGGCGTAACTCATCAGCAGGCAGGTCTTCCCAACAGCTCCGTCACCAATCACCACACACTTGAGCATCTTCTTCACGCTGCTATCTGAGTAGCCGGGCTCTTCTTTGCCACTCATGCTGGTGGTTCCTGCTTTCCTTCTTTTTCCTTCCAGCTTTTGCACGCACACCCGAAAGAGCACAGATCCCAAAGGAGAATTTCAGTGGTCGATAGCAGGCTTCTTCTTAAATGAGTTGTTTTTGTTGTTGTTATTGCTATTGTGGTTGCCGCATGGCAGACAATCAGGAAATCATAACTTCAGTTTGTACACTTGACCTTTTCAAGCCGCAGAGAACCATGTGAAGGAATAAATAGACCACCGACACGCGTGTCATTCGTAGTTCGAGTCAGGAAATCTTCATCTTGCATACAGAGACGGTGGTATTTCGCACGGCTTAAAAATAGCAGCAATCGGAGGAGCTGAATGTCTGTTCTTCTGCTCTGTTTTGGCCCGAAAAATCAGGGATTCGTGCTAAATCCATTCCATTTCTCCATCGCATTTCCAAAGAGAAAGGGGAAACTGGAACAAATTCACGGAAGGACTCCCTCCTTCTCTCTCCCTGTGTCTCTTGTTCTTTTTATTTCATGCAACCCCTTTATTTTCTCCAGTTTGCTGTATGTCAGGAAATCATGGGTTTCCTGCTGAATTCCATATTAGGATCACTGGGGCTCGTGAAGGGCTGCAAACAATAGAAGCTCTGTGTGTGTTTATACTTTGCAGGAACTCTGCCAGGATGTGGAAGAAGAAAAACACTAGAGGTCTCACTGCAGACTGCAGTTCACAAGCTTCCTGCTCCAAAAGATCCATCTGGACATCATCGTCACCCTTCTCTCCGGAGCGCCCACACATAAAATCATTCATGGTGAGATTGATATTATATTGGGCTACCCCTGGATTGACCTCTGTGAGAGTGATTGGCGGCATCTGGGACAAAGTAGGAACAGTCGTCATCATTTCTGTTTAAAAACACCTCTTGTGAACTCTTAGAATTTTCACTACGCAGACACACAGACTTCCTCAAACTTCACTGTGAATTTATCTGCTCCTCAGTTGGCCACAAAAACTTATCTCTGCTTTTTCTTCTTTTCCTACCAGGAATGCTGAATGTCTGTAAATTATTTTTTTTTGTTAAATTACAGGCACGGTTATGAAGAAAATGCTTCAGCTGTCTCCTCACTGAGTAGGCACTTTAATATGTAGCACTTAATCAGCTATGGTTTATACTCAACAATTCTGCAGTTAAGAACCAAATGTCCAGTAGTATAATATGAACTTAATACAGTATGTCATTAGCTATGACATTTTATGACATTTTAATTGTTTGTTCTTATCCATTCCAGGTTAAACTTCCTTTGGAATTATGTACCTGTTGCCCTATTCTAGCTATGCTCTGATTAGAAAGCAAGAATTGAGTTTTCTTACTTGCGCGGAGAAAGATACAACACCGAGGGAATAAATTAAGCTGTGTCTAAACCTTAACCTCCACATAGCGACCTTCTCCAATCTGGAACTGTCAGTGTTTTGAGCATACAACTCTCAAAATTGCATGGCAGACTAGCTCTTGGCTCCCCTAGATAGGAATTTGTAAAGCTTTTTGAAGTCATTCCAATAAAGGTAATCCTCAGCATATGAACACAATTGAGACCAAAAATATCTATTGCTAAGGAAGGTGGCTAAGTGAGTTGCACCACGGTTATTAAGTGAATCTGGCTTCCCCAATTGACTTTGTCGCAAGCCAGCTGTGAAGGTCACAAATGGCAGTCACATGACCCAGGCTCGCTGCAACAGTCACAAGCACATGCTAATTGCCAAGCATTTGAATTTCATCATGTCACCTTAGGGATGCTGCAACAGTTTTAAGTGTGAGGACCAGCTGTAAGTACCTTTTTTCAATGCATTTGTAACTTCATAGTAACACTAAACAAATGTTTGTAAGTCAAGAACAATCTGTATGGTGCTTTATCTAAAGGCATTTCCGGATGCAGTTTTACACTCTCCTTGTTTGGAGGCTTCTGACCAGTTGGTGACTTTATTGGACACTTTCCATTGCACAAGATAGCCGTTTACTCCTCAAACTTCTGATATCATCATAGTAGGGGGAAGTACAATGGAAAACAACCAGCAATTTTTTTTTCTTTTTTGTAAGCCGCCCAGAGTCCTTCGGGATTGGGCGGCATATAAATTTTATAAATAAATAAATAAATAATAAAATTTTCAATTGATTGGCGGGAGAGGGGAATTCTTCAGTTCGTTTTTCATGGCACATCTGGTAAGGGTCTAAGTTTTGCTCTGGGAAGCTTGCTTTTTAAAAGTGAAAAAAAAAATGTTTTCAGTGTAGTATGAAATAAAAGAACTTCTTTTATTAAGCAGCAAAAAAGTAAAAGAAAAATGCTCAGTGGGCCAATTCCCCAGTTTACCATTTGAGTCAAGAAACAGACTTACTACAGCTGAGGTTTGCACAGTAAATTGATTTGCGGGACCTGCATCCACCAGTTGAGTTCTTCATATAAACTCCATCAGTTGGATATCTCATAAATTTACTTTTATGTATGCGCGGATGTATAGTGGAATGTTCAGACTTAATATGTTAAGAGTTGGGTATTTAGAAGAATATTTCACTACACCAAATTATGAGTTTTTGCCCCCCAGACATTTGTTTTAAAAAGGAGTCTCCCATTTGAAATTTAAAGGCCTACAGACTAAAACATACGAAGGATTTCAGTACAGGCAGTCTACAAAAAAGAAGGACTAGGGATGACATGAAAGCAGTATTCCAGTATTTAAGGGGCTGCTACAAAGAAGAGGGTGTGTGTGTGTGTGTGTGTGTGTCAAATTATTCTCCAAAACACCAGAGGGCAGGACAAGAAACAATGGATGGAAACTAATTGAGAGAAGCAACCTGGAATTAAGGAGAAACTTCCTAACAGTGAGGACAATTAACCCGTGGAACAGCTTGTCTTCAGAGGTTGTGAATGCTGCATCACTGGAGGTTTTTAAGAAGAGACTGGACAGCCACTTGTCTGAAATAATATAGGGTCTCCTACTTGAGCAGGGGGTTGAACTAGAAGACCTCCAAGGTCCCTTCCAGCTCTATTTGAATTGAATGGAATGAAAAACAGAACACTATGTAAAAGTTAAATTTGTCT